ACAACTTTCCTTGCCACATTTGTGAAGTCGATCACCTCAGTTGTTTCGATTAGTAACACGGCTATTAAGTGAAACTGGTTTCCTCATGGACTTGGCTTGTCAGAAGGTCATAAAAGGGAGTCATATGACCCCCGGGACACTGCAACTGTCATAAATGTGAGTCTGTTGTCAAGCATCTGAATGCAAATCAGGTGGCCACGGGGAAGCTTCAGTGGTCATAAGTGTGAAAAATGGTGATGTCCCTTTTTTCAGTACCGTTGTAACTTTGAACGGTCACTGAGCGAATTGTTGTACATCGAGGACTACCTGTGGACAGTGGTGGGAGTCAAATAATTTATCAACCGTTTCTCTGCCCTAATGACCAGCTGGGTAGGCGGGACTCAGTGGTCATGTGACTGGGCGGGCGCGGCCAACTCAACGTCACGCAGGTCGATGGGCACTTCGCCTTAGCTGTTACAATGTCATCAGGGTTAAACGGAGAGGCAGTTTCTGCAAACAGGGCAATCAAGATTAGGCTAGAAACAACACCAGAATGTTTCCTTCCTGCCTTCCTTACAGGATTCGCCCTGTAAAGTGGGGGAAAACAAAAGGAGATTTCTTCCAACAACCGGTTCTCCAAACTGCTTAGAAAGTTACCAACTGGTTCTCCCGAATAGGTGCGAACTGGCTGAATCCCACCACTGACGGAGGGTCACATGGCCCTACTGATCTCTGTTTTTGCTGACAGAGGCACCACGGGCCGGTCCTTTGCTGTTTCTAGGGTGGCCCTGCAGGCCAGATTTAAATACCCCACGGACCACACACACACCCCTGCAGGATTTGAGTTTGACACCCCTGATCTTGCTGGACTGTACAGCGAAGAAGCTTCTTGGATGAGAAGCAAAATGATACCAGAAAGTCCAGTTGCCTCTTTTAAAAATAAAGCCCCTTTGGTCTCTTTTGTATCATTTCTAATCCTACGGCAGAATCTCAGAGACACAGAATATAAAGTTGCAGGCAAACGTATTCATTATCCAAACCACTCACTGCTTAAGGGGCACCGTTTTCATACAGTCTGATCTTAGCCACCTTGCAATTCACCCCTAAAATAGATATGCCAGATACAGTTATTTTTGATTACTTGATTTATTACCAGCTTTTCTCAAGCATGAAAACTTGACACGGGTCTCACATTCACAGAGCATTTGTTAATAGGAATAGAATTATAAAAGTATAACCAAAAATAAATTGGCTTGCCTAGAGGCAGGACGCCTAGCTGGGATTTCTTTTCTAGGCTTCTTAAAGTCAGATCCAACTGTTTTAATTGATCGTTGTGACTCTTTTGCTGCTACTGGTCTACCTCTTAAAGTTTATAGGGCAGCCCCCTCCCCCCTTAAGATTTGTGTGATGTGACAAGTAAGACAGAAGCAGCTGCAAATATATACTTGCAGTCCAGTGATGGGATTCAAAATTTTGTACTACCAGTTCTGGGGACGGGACGGGGCAGGGCTTGGTGGGCATGGCAGGGGAAGGATACTGCAAAATCTCCATTTCCAACCCACTCCAGGGCAAGGATACTGTAAAATCCCCATTCCCACCCCACCCCACTAACCTGCTTTCCAGCTCCAAAGAAGATGCAGCAAATTAGTTGGGACGCCGATCAGCTGGGACTCGGGAGGCAGAGAATAGATGGGGCGGGGCCAGCCAGAGGAGATATTTGTCAGTTCTCAAAACTACTCAAAATCTCCGCTACCGGTTCGCTAGAACCGGCTGAATAACACATCTGTTGCAGTCTCTCACTCTTTCCCCTATAGCACTGATGGCTAACATTTTTCTCCTCATGTGCCAAATTTGTGCATGAGCAACAGTACACACGTGTGTGCCCACACCAATAATGCAATGCGCCCTGCCCCCTGCAAATGTGCCCATGACCCCCTTGCTCCCCCCGCACATGCACGCAACACCATTTGCAGCCTCATTTTGGGCCTAGCTGGCCTCCCTGAAGCCTCCTGGGACCAAAACCGGGCTGTGGGGGCGCCGCACCCCTCCCCCCAGCTTGTTTTGGGCCTAGCAGGCCTCCCTGAAGCCTCCTGGGACCAAAAACGGGGCCTGGGGGGCACCACATCCCTCCCGCAGCTTGTTTTGGGCCTAGCAAGCCTCCCTGAAGCTTCCTGAAACCAAAAATGGAAGGTGGGAGGGTGCAACATGCTCCCATGCCCCCCTCAACTCCCTGTGCATGTGTGCGTGACCCCCACGCATGCACACGCATCTCCCGCATGTGCAACAGAGACCTGAAAAATCAGCTGGCCAGCGGAAGGCACACACACATGCGCCGTGGAGCTGAGCTGGGAGATGGCTTGCATGCCATAGGTTCTCCATCACATCCCTACAGCAACATTTACAGCAACATTTCATCCGAATAAAACATAACAGAGATATCACTGACTTTATTTCTGAATGCATCTCCTGACCCAAGCAGGCAAGTTTCCAAAGTTACAGTTATTCAAAGGGAAGGATATCTAACAAGTTCATATCTGTATAGACCTAGCCAACACATAACAGACCTTATTGCCAGGAACAGCAATTCTCACCTGCAGAAAAATAGCCTTGGGATAAGTTATATTATTAGGACATAGAGGAGGAAAAATAATGGAATAAAATTGCTGGAATGTCGCAAACGTAGTTGGCTTGAATTGTCAAGGTCGTTAGCTGGGGTTTCTGTCCCCTAGTTTTCCTAGGGCAACAAAATTCAGCGGTAAAAATCAGGGTTTCTCCTTGCATGTGGTTGGTGTAAATTGTGTTCTCAGCATTTTCCTCCTCTTTCAAAAACCCAAGGACAAACAATTATTATTATTATTATTTCCAGTCAGGAGAATGGGAAGGAAAGGGTTTTTGTTTGCCTCTTTACCTCCCCTAAAACATGGGTTTTTGCAAAAACTAAACAAAATAACCCAAAAAAAACCCTAACAGGAAGGAAGAGGAACCAGGTTCTCAATGAGAAAAATCAAGTAGTCTTCTTCTTCTCCTTCTCCTTCTCCTTCTTCTTCTTCTTCTTCCTCCTCCTCCTCCTCTTCTTTCTTCTCCTCCTTTTCCTCCTCTGTTTCTTTTTCTTTTCTTCCTCTTCCTCCTTTTCTTTTTCTTCTTCCTGTTCTTCCTCCTCCTCTTCTCTCTTCTCTTTTCTTTTTCTTCTTCCTCGTCTTTTTCTTCTTCTTCCTTGTCTCCTTCTCTTCTTCTTTCTCTTCCTCTCCCCCTTCTTCTCCTTCTACTCCTCCCCCTCCTCTTCCTCTCATTATAAACAGGTAATCCTCAATTTACAGCCACATTTGGGATGAGAATTTCAGTTGCTAACCAAAGGCAAGTTGTTAAGTGAATTTACTGCAGTTGTTAACTGAACCATGTGGTTGTCACACATATCTGGCTTCCCTATTGATTTTACTTGGTTGGTTTGGTTTATTGGATTTATATGCCGCTCTTCTCCCAAGGACTCAGGGCGGCGTACAACGTTAAAAAAACACACATATTATAGAAGTTTTTTAAAAAAACAGATAGAGTATCCAAAAAACAAACCCAATTGATATTAACAATAAGATTTAAAATTTTTTGATTAAAATTAACAATAATATATCATTAATAAAAATGTGATTAAAATTAACAATAATATATCATTAACTTATTGAAAGTTGGCTGAGAAGGACACAAATGGCAATCCCAAGGCCCCAAGATGGTTGTTACCAGCATAAATTCATGCCGGTAGCCAAACATCTGGGCAAGAAAGAGTCTAAACATACTGTACATTGGAGATTTTGTTTTCCTTTACATTAATAATTGTAAATCTGCTGGGTGGTGGTTGTTGTTTTTTTTGTAAAATACAAGAAGAAAATTCAAAAGGATGTGAAAACCGCCACTCAAAAAGGGCAAAAGCGAAATAAAAGTCTGGTTGCAATTGCTTCTATTGTAAGCTTCACGTGTGATATGTTGAATGTTACTTTATGCTCTTAGGGAGACATTTTCCCCACTCCCCTGTGGCTTTAAAAAGTAGTCTATGCCATAGCCTGAGCAGCTGCTACTCATTCCTTCTTTTTTGCATAAACCGTGATATTTGGGCTGACAAATCCTTAGACAACTTATAGTCCGCATCTGCTGGTATATTGGGGACACATGTATCCATGACAAGGTGCCAACTAAAAACGAAGCCTTCTACATACAGAAAGGGGCTGTATTCAGTGTTTAACTCCATATTATTCTGCTCCGGGTTTCTTTTGACCCGGGGGCAGGGGTGGGTTTCTCGCCCCGTTCCAACTTATTATGGAAACATAAGCTGGAATCTCTAACATTGTTCTCAATTTCCAGATATAACTCTTCTTCTTCTTGTGCCATATCCGTCATCGGACATTGGCAATTATGTTGGCAATCCTATTTTTGTCAACGGCTGCCTGAAAAAGTTCTGCTGAGTTTTGTCCAAACTAGTCCTTTAGATTTTGAAGTCACGGTGTTATTCTTCTGCCTGGACCTCGTTTCCCTTCAATCTTTCCCTGGAGGTTTAAATGATGGATGCCGTATTTTTCTGGGTGTCGCATCACATGTCCGAAAGATTCCAACTTCCGCTTTTTAATGGCTTTGATGATGTCCCTTNAGACGCTCAGATTTGGAGAGATTTATAACCTTGGTAAAATAAAGCCAGAAGCCTAAACTACGCAGAAACACGGTTAATTGTATCAAGGAAAGTATTTCTTTGCTGCCGCGCTCAGCGGGGCCGTCAACAGTTCAAAGCGGGATTTGTGAGAATGAAAGGACTTAGAACGCTTACGGATCGGACCACTTCGCTGATCAGGGTAACTGGCGTCTTCTTGTTTGGGGTGGACGGGAGAATCCATTGACTGTATAACTCCAGCAGGAACTGGGAGCACGAATGAATGTCCACCCCGGCACGGTGCTTCCTACAAGTCAAGAGAGGTTCATGAGTTGACGGAAACCCCTTGTAAATATTAAGATTTGCGATGTTGGCGAATATCTGAAACTCGGGTGGAGGATGAGATATGTGACATATCGCAACCGTCGTAAGCGTGAGTCAGTTGCCAAGCGTGTGAATTTTGATCATGTGACCAGGGGGGATGTCCCCAAAGTGCTTTTTTCTTTTCCAAGGGGCAACTGGAACTTTTCTGGTTTTTCTTTGATGTTTCGCTTCTCATCCAGGAAGCTTCTTCCGCTCTGACCTGGATGACGGAGAATCTCCATAGATGATCAGCGGGTTCGGGGGGTGGGTTTCTGCCGGTGTTACTGCCTGTTCGATGTGCGCCTGCGCAGTTGCCTGTAAACAGGTCTGCGCATGCGCAGAACATTAAAAATGTCAAAAGAACATGCCACGGTGACCGGGAAACCGGTTCAGGGGCGTGGCCAGCCTGCTGTCCCTACCGGTTTGGCGACCAGTCACAATTTCCACTACCGGTTCGCCCGAACCGGTGTGAACTGGTAGCAACCCACCTCTGATGGGGATGCTAAAAGGCCATAAGTGTGAAAAGTTTGGTCACGAAATATGTTGTAAGTCAAGGACCACCTGCATGGACTACCGTATTTTTTGGAGTATAGGACCCACTGGAGGATAAGATGCACCAAGATTTTGAAGAGGCAAATTAAAAAAAAAGTTTTTGCACTCTGCAGACCCCCCCAAAACGGCCCCCCCCCCCCCCCCCCCCCCAAAAGGGCATGCCTAGCCTTTAGGAGGCTTACAGTGTGCTCCTGAGGCAAAAATGAGCAAAAAACAGCCTGTTCTTTGCTCATTTTTGCCTTCCCCAGCATCCAGGAAGCCTCCTAAAGGCTATGCACGGCCATTTTTGCAAAGGGGGAAGGGGTTTCGGGAGGCCAAAAATGCTGTATTCAGTGTATTTTTGGGGGGAAAGGTGCGTCTTATACGCTGAAAAATACAGTAATTAAGATACGGGAATTTCATCTCAGATTTGAAAGGTTTGAAGTTATTCTGAGCCGAAACCCTCGGATGGGCACAGGAAGAGAAGAAAAAGAAAAAAAAGACACACCTGGAATTGATGGGGGAAGAAGGGGGGGAAGAAAGGGCAGGCATGTCACTCTCATCATCTTCATCTTCGCCCCATTCTTCTTCCCGCAACGGGGTAATGCTATTTCCCAGCCACACTGAATGGATGGAGACCTGCCGGTCAAAAATAAAATAAAATAAAATAAAAGATTGAAAGCAATTCTTGTCACAAAACATCACCCTGAATTCATGCGTCGGTCAAGTAATGAAGAAACCAAAAACGCCATCTACGGCGAGTTCTCGACGTACGACCAAAACCCGAGGCTCAACATTTCGGTGTTGCACAGGGGTTAAAAGTAATTTCATGACTTCTTTTGCCGACCACTGTTAAGCGAGTCACTGAAGTTGTTAACTCAGTCACACGGTCGTTCAGTGAATCTAGTTTGCCCCGTCAACTTTGCTTGTCGGAAGGTCACAAACGAGGTCGTGTGACCCTCCCCACCTCGGACGTTGCGACCGTCATCAAAAAGAAGTCGGTTGCCAAACGTCCGAATATAAACCACATGATCACGGGGGGAGGGAAGGGGGGAGGATGCTGCAGTGGTCGTAAAGTGTGAAAAATGGCCAGAAGTCCCTTTGGTTCAGTGCCGCTGTAACACCGAAAAATGACTCTCTTTCCTTTACTTAATGGGCATTTGGACACACCTGTCCCAGTTTGTATGACATATTCCCCATTTCGCGTTCCGTATTGATCTGAAGCAGCAGTTTTTCGTGGCTAATGAGGGAACCTGAAATGAGAAGAGGAAACGTAACTAGGACGGCCAGAGATTCAATTTGTTCATCTATTAGACAGATAAAGGAGAAACTACACAGATCTCCACTCCAGAGGTGGTTTTTCAGCCGATTCGGAGCGGTTCGGGCGAACCGGTAGCGAAACTTTTCAGTAGTTCGGAGAACCGGCAAATACCACCTCTGGCTGGCCCCAACCTCCCGCCTCCGTCGTTCCCTGTCCTATATTTCTTTGGTTTTTTTAGCTCAGATGATTCACGCGGCAGAGGAGATTACCGCGTCTCAGCACCGCTGACACCGAGGACGGTCTTTGAGTGCTATACGCGCAAAGCACGCTCTCGTAGAACCGGTAGGAAAAGATTTGGAATCCCACCACTGCTGCAGTCCCTGATCTGGGGGACGGCTTGGCCTGCAGGAAGGAACTGAGGAGGGGGATTCTCTCCTCTTGTCTGTTACTGGAGGGGAGGGGAAGGTGTCAGGCCTCCGTCGGAGTCTGAATCAGCGGAGGAAGATCAACCGGAAATGGAGCCGACGAAGAGGCGGCTTCATTGGCTTCGGAGGAATGTGTGGAGGAGGAAGCCGAGTCAGGCCAGGGCCTTTCAGGATTGGGATGGCTTGTAGGCAGGGAAGAACAGAGGCAGGATGACCAGGAGAGGCTGAGGGACAGAGCTCAGGCAATGAGCAAGGACCATCCACTCCTGATCCGAGAGCATGGAGAGTAGAGAGAAGGCGAGAACAGAGCAGGCTGATCCAGCTGTAAAGTACCCTAACGATGCCTGCTTCATAATAAGCGACCCGATAGTGTAATACAAAAAGCAGTGATTTATTAACAGCTTCATTAGGCGGCGCACATATGTGCTAGTTGTTCCCCACTCTAGGGGGCGGTGCTCATTTCTGTTTCAAAGCCGAAGAGCCAGCGCTGTCCGGACGTCTTTGTGGTCATGTGGCCGGCATGACTCAACGCCGAAGGCGCATGGAACGCTGTTCCCTTCCCACCAAAGGTGGTTCCTATTTTTCTACTTGCATTTTTATGTGCTTTCGACCTGCTAGGTTGGCAGAAGCTGGGACAAGTAACAGGAGCTCACTCTGTTATGCGGCGCTGGGGATTCGAACCGCCCAACTGCCGACCTTTCTGATCGACAAGCTCAACGTCTTAGCCACTGAGCCGCCACGTCCCTGAAAATCACCTTAATAAATCCTAATTACAAAAATAATTCTTAGGTCTTTGGTTAGGACTTGAAGTTTTCTCCCACCTCAAATCGTGAACCTTCACTCTTCACTACCCACAATGATCATAATTTATTCCATTTATATGCCACCGACTCTCAGCGACTCCGCAAGGCTCACAACCAAGAAAGAAGTGACAATAATTCAATCTGAAT